AGGATCACCGAGCTTCCAGAGGAGCTTCATTTTTTGGGTTTCATTGCTGAAGGTATCCTCTGAAACAGAGGCATTTTGGGGAAGGGTAGTGAAGGAGACGAACGGAGCCTGGTCCCGTGGGTGGGATCCCTCCCTTCCGATCTGGACCTACCTCTTCCTAAAAATTTCGCCATGGGTGTTTCTGTTATTTTTTGTTGATTTATAGTTAGATGGTTGGAAGTCTATGAAAATTATCACTTATATACTAATTTATATAACACTGGATGGTGGTGAGGTCATCCATACTTGGCTGAAAACTTGTGACCATTGTATACAATCCAACATCGACCAACAAATCAATCACAAAATCAGTGGCATGATTTATCCAACTTTGATTAACAAATCAATCACAAAGTCAGTGGCGTGATTAATCCATTGACCAACAAATCAATTGCAAAGTTGGAGGCGTGACTAATCCAACATTGACCAACAAATCAATCGCGAAATCAATGACACGATTAATCTAATATTGACCAACAAATTAATCAAAAATCAATGGCACTAACTATCAGTTGTTTCCAAACAATTAAACTAAAACAAAACATAAATTAAACTAAAACTACTTAAACTAAAGGAATTTTTTAAGTAAACGAAACTATGAATGGGAAGGAATTTAGATTTCATTTAATTCTGAATTATGTAACTGTTTAATTAATCTAATTTAAGTTTAAATAACAGTGTTATAAAATGAGATGTAAATTTCCTTCAATTAATTAACTACCTTTCTCAAGTCAAGTTAATCCTTCACTTACTTGTTAAATTAATCATATCTCTATAGAATTTAAAATAAACTAGTGACCATTAAATTTTATGAAAAGCTCTAGCTTAGGAAGGGGGAGCTCCTAACTCTCATCTCTTCCTCACTATCACATGTGAGTTAATTACCTCTCGGTTTCATAGTCTAACAAATTATTTATATTATTATTAGTTTAATTTACGCAATTCTTTCTTAAGTTCATGCATAAATCACTAAATCAATTAAAATGTGATCAGGCTTTCAATGCATTAAGCTCAATAACATAAACTTATTATGTAAATAACTAATAAATCCTATTTCTATTCCAATTAGGGTTTTTAAAATCCTATAAATATCCATCCAAATTTAGAATTGAGAGAGCTTTGGGAAGCCGACGGCAATCCTCTTTTAGGCATTTATTGGAGATCAAGATAGAGATTTCATCAACAATATAAGATTAAAGAGTTTAATTTTCTCAAATTGGGTTTTATTTTTCCTTTGATTCTTTTTATCTATTGTTTGATATTCGAATATTTATAATTATGATTTTAAGTTTTATTATTTTTATTATGAACTAATTTATTGTACTAGGGCCACAATGTAGTGTAATCAATTTAATATAGATTTTGTGATTTTATACTTTCAATTAAAGTTATTCACATGAGAAATTTATACTATTGAACTTAATGCATTGGAAGTTTGATCACTTTTCAATTGATGTAGTGATTTATGCATGAACTTGAGAAATAAGCACGTAAATTAGACCAACAATAATATAAATGTTAAATACCCTTTTTGGTCCCTCTACTATAGGAAAAAGCTCTTTTTTGGTCCATGTACCGAAAAAATCCCCTTTTTGGTCCTTACTGTTCA